TATATATATATAGAGAGAGAGAGAGAGAGAGAGAGAGAGAGAGAATCCTTATTTGTATAAAAAATACTAAAATATATGATGATAGTTTGAAAATTACTTATATATAAGTTATTTATATATAAAAGCTGTATTTGTCTATCTTGTGATTCTACAATCATCGATAGTGTTGTTTGACCTGCCGCGAAATAATTCCGACCGAAATGCATGATTAAACAAAAAATTTGGTTTGGTTATTTTTGTTGTTCTGCTCAGAGCATATGCTTGCATATCTAACAAAGATTACCCAATTTTAAATCAAAAGTAAGTCATGATATGCATACAATACATTTCTTACTAAAGTTCAGGGTGACTAAATTCATTTATTGTCTTGGCGATGTGAATGCTATCACGAGTCTTTCATAAGGATTATATCAATGCAGCATTTTACGTGCTGACAAAAAGTTTTTGACATTGAATGTTCTGTGTAATAATTTATACAATTTACGCATTGTAATCACATAATTACACACACATGCGAATATAGTTCAAATTCAATAACTCAAGCCATTTGTTTTTTCCTGCGTTGTAGTTTTTTGTACATTTATAATGTTGAAAATTATAGATTGTATATATAAAATGGCATCCTTGATTGCAATATTATTGCAAAGCATTACTCTTATATTGTACTTATTGTGTAAAGTCAGTAATTATATGCAGCACAACTTTCAACTTTTTATATCTTTGATATCTTTACTTTTTTTACATTTGCTACATTTTATGATGCAAATTTTATTATTATTAATGCATTTGTATAGTGATTAGCTTTTCACCTTATTTAACATATTATTTTTGCGTAGTCATTTAAGAAGCTTATTATTATAATTTTATATGGCGATTATACATGTGATTTCCGTGTATTGTTTTAATGTTCATACTAATAATAACTGACGCCATGATGATGACATTTACACAAGAAAAAAAAATAATGCATGCACAAAAGCATTTACTGTTTATATTGCATCGACATGCAAATATCTAATCATCTTAACATTGCATTTTTAAAAGTTTTTTTCCGTTTTTCCTTTTCGATAAATCGTGATTTATTAGATTAAAATAACTGATGACTAAAAACACCAACTTTTATTATTATTTGATGGAATATTAATAAATTATTATTGAATGTCAACGCAAATTGAAGTGTAAAGGATATGATAATAACATTGTCAAGAAGCTTGCGTCACTCCTTGAATCCTTGATTACGCCTATGGACCAAACATCGCATTTTCATGTTGGATCGGACTGATGCTTTTAAGTGGGTACTAGATGACTGTGTGTCCGTGACGCGTAACGATCATAAACGGCGTATACACATACGATACTGATTAGAAATCGGCGTTCAAGGTTTATGCGAGTCGTTTTAACAAGCTACTCCGCAAAATTGAGACGCAATCGAACTAGGTGCCATTAACTTTTTATGCTATAATTTACTACTATTCACGATGCGCGCAACGAACTTTGGCACTGGGTGGTCCTTATTTGTAAGTAAACGCGCACGGTGAACAAGCCTACGTTCTGCGTGGCATGAAATGGTAATGAGTACGACGTTCGATGCTCCTTCATATGCGTTTAATATTCGAGCCGCGTTTGACGGAAATTGAAAAAATGGCGCAAAATTGTATGAGATTTAGCGATAGCAATTTAACGGTAAAAAATGAGAATTTACAAAGAATAATGTATAATATATATTTTGTATATCAAAATTTGCATATAAGAGCAAACTAGAGGATAAAATATTATTAGAACGTCAATCTTAATTTACTTATTAACACGATCACTTGCAATTATACGAACATACGATACAATTTTTTAGGAAGATAGAAATTATTATTTATGAGCAAATAGCAGTTATAATAATTATAAAGATATGTAATAATTATTATACTATCTATATCTTCTTGTTGTGCGATTAATTTTGTCGAGTTGATAGGACACATTGTTTTGTACAACATTATTTTATCACAGTGGATTTAAAAACGTAGCGTATTTTATTTTCCGTAGTCGTGCGTGCGTAAAAAACACACGTGCGCGGCTGTACACACAACATATAAAACAACGGAAATCAAAACCGAGAGGAATCATTCTATTGCGTAATATGACCATCGGACAGTAAAAGCAATATAATCAATTTACATTTCAACGCATTTTCAGCATACATAGTTTGTGCCGTATATATCAATATTTTTTTTATACCTCTTCAAAATCTTGTGTTTTTTAAGATATCTCTCATAAATATTTGTATATTTAAAATATTTTAATTATACACATTTATCACATTAAGAGTGAATGTTAAATATATAAATAATTAACTATAAAAATTCAATAAAACGGAAAATTAAATGAATAAAACATAAGGATCATCTTAAAAATAATCATAGTCAATGTCAAAGTACTCACGAATAGTGGTCCTTACATAAAATTTTTTTCGCGAGATTTTTTGACTTTTTTTTCTTTATCTGCACTCTTCGTTCATCATAGCAAGCGCTATAAACGCTGTAACATCGTTTTTTACATGTTAATAGTCACGTGTTGTATTTTTTCAATTTCAATCTATCGTAATTCGCAATAATCCTGTAAAAATTTTAGTAACCGCAATTATATTATAATGACATATTAATGACATAACATACAAAAAAAGCAACATGGTCAGTGCTTGTAGCAGTGATCGCGGACTGCAGAGAAAGGCAATACAGATCAAGCAAACTTGCAAAAAAATTTTATGTCGAGAATTGCCGGTCGGAGCGACCTTGGCCGTGCCATTCCGCGACTTGCTAATTGTCGTACGTCGAGTGATTATCGTTTGCAGAATTAAAATTCGCACGGCGTAAGGATGACGGGTGCGTGCGCGCGTTCGGATTTAAGTCATTGTTTGCACGCAAGAAGTGTACACGCACATTGCTACGTCGATACGTGTTGTTTACTTCGAGCACACGGAGCCAACAACCCGCGCATTCGCTAATCTTTAGAATCTGCCTATCTATGCTTTGTTGTTAGATCTTTGCAGTTTATTTTAGCGATTATTGCTTTCTAAGAAAAAGAAGAGAAGATACGTAAATTAAGTGATTATTATCAGATGGAAATTATAAATTTAAATAATTGTTAATAAGAGATTAAATGCATGAACATGTTTTTATTGCTGGATATGCAACAAAACGTCATATCGAGATATTATCAAGTGATAAAATGTAATTTTTATAAAGTTAACTGACTTTGATGGATATTACCTTAATGATAAATTTTACCTGTTGATTAGTAACAGTCTTGTGATATATTAATGATATTTCAGATACGATATTTAGGGTTGATTTTTTAAATGTCATTGATCTTTATTTTTTACACCGTCAATGAAATAATCTCCCTTTAATAGCGATATTTTAAAATGTCAAACCGTTTAGGCTTTTATTTTCTGCGATTTTTGATACTGGCTATCAACTGCTGGAAGAAAATATCAAGTCAAAGAAAATAAAGAACAGCACACGCGGTTCTGTAAGATACCGTTTTCAAGTAAATATTTAAATTTTTATCTGCACGATGCCCACTCATCTGGTTATTCCATTGATTTCTCATTTGCTCGTAAGAAATTTACTCTTTTTTTTTGGCTGACCGCAAGGTGAACAAGAAACGACTTTGGACTGCAGAACATATCCCTTAGTGAAGAGGTCGTTCATTGTGACGGCATTTCTATTCGCATCCTACGTGCGCGAGTGTGCCCAAAGGATCTTGTCTGAGAGAGACTCGTTGTCCTTCAGTATTTAATGCCACGTTCAATGATCTTCCGGAACGAGAACTAACACGGCAGTACTTAAATTGCATTGAGAAAATTAAATATACAAATTTCGTTTATGTAAATGTACACACTCTTGATGTTTTTTTTCGTCTTTTGATGTTTTTGCCTTTAGTGAACTTAAGTCGAGTTGAACAATTTTTTTTAATTTAAGCGCGAAACTTTGAACCTTCTTTTTTGTCGATGCATTTCGTTAACGGTAATGACGATCTAAAGTTTGCTAATATACAAAGATAATTTATTTGCGGATTAACCTCCAGACTGCGTGATTTGCACTATGTATTCGATGGTCGAAAAAACTCAAGGTTCATGATCGTCGATCGGAATATATTTAATGTACAAACGAATTTACTTCGCGTTCAACAAGATTGTAAGAAGAAGTTTCGCAAAAACATAAGGTTGCATCTACTTAATACATAAA